GCTAGATTGCCTTGTTCTGTTTGGTGCAAAATGAAATGCTTTCTTTTGGATTACATGTACATGGAGCAAAGAAAATGGATGGCTGATTTTATGAAACTGAGCATCCTATTTCATCCAGGAGTGAGGGGTAACACAGAAGAAGTAGGAGACCAAGAGAAGATTTAAACTTGAGTATCAGATCTCCCAGCATAATGCCCTGACTACCAGACTATTTGGTATTTTGTGTTGCCATGTTCCTCATGCCTCCTGTTGATCTTATTCCACTTGGTTTAGACAAATATTTACTCATACCAGGACTGAGGCACCGTGTTCCCATTTTCCAGGTGAAAGTCCTAACAACCATGCTGGTGAGTCTTTCTCATGGAAACTCTGTCCCGATGGCTACGAAATTATTCTATACCAACTGAAATCTTATCATCAGATAGTCTGAAGGACCGTCGGCCATTCAACTTTCCATTATCCAGGTGGTTAGGAGTTTTTTTAAAGAGGTCGAGTATGTAGATTTATCCAGACTCTGGGAGATACTGTATGGAGACTGATTCCCTGCTGCCTGCATGAATGTCATACCTATCTGCTGCCTAAAAAGGAGCAAAGAACACCACCTCTAACCATCTCACAAACCCTCTTCTGAAAACAAAAAAGGGCAAATCCAGGAGAAGCTATTTAATGAATTCAGTCCAGGTTGTCAGGCATTTTGGGGACAGCTTGAATTGTATTTTCCTCCAAGCTCACCACCTGCCAAGGCCATTTCGGTCAGCTCTCCCTCTTTCCAATCTACAATGCTGAAGAGCCAGTCCTGAACCACTTCTCAAGGTAGACCTCCAAAGGAACTAAGTGCTAGTTTTACCTGCTAGGCAACTGTGCTAAGTCATTCTATGGTGTGGGATTTGGGTCCTTCTGAGAAAGCTCCAAACTAGAGGCAAAGGGCATAGTACCATTTTCTGGAAGAAGAGCTCCTCGGGTTCTGCTGAGCCTTTACTGACATCAGCCCTGGCTCCATGTCCTGCCATAAAAAGCAGATTTTACAGCAGTTTTTGTAGTGCCTTTTATCCTAATAAGGGAATAAAGCCCTTCTGGTAATCACACCAGTTGGAGCCCCTGCACGGAAATGGATGGGTGTGCGCTACAGACCGTGCTCTTCATTTAGCAAATTACTCGGTGTAGCTTTTCTCTGTACAGTTTCAGCAGCATCAAAGGGAGAGCAGGTATAGATGCAGATGTAGGCTGTCTGAAACTTTCATATCTTCTTTTTATGGGGCTGTAAGGCAACTTCATATATCATGCAGCTGGACCTTTTCCATGTTAGTAACACAGGACACCCAGTACTTATACTGCTTAGGAAAACAGAAATAGGCCTAAATCCTAGATCCAGATGTGAATTTGGCAAATAGCCCCTTTACAATGGGACAAAGAAATATCTCCGATCCAAACACTTCTACAGTTTGGGATGTTTGAAATCAACTTTGCACCCACAGCAATTCATTAATCATATCTTTTAAATGTTTAAACTTCAGCTAGAACATAAAATCAACATTTAAGGTTCTTGTTAATTTGTCTCAAAATTGGCATCATGTAAGAATCCCTTCATTAAATGGATAGTCTCAGAGACATTTTCAAGAGTAATTGCTGCCCTTCTCTTTTTCTGCCCTCCCCTCTTTGTTTTACTTTAAAAGAGGTAAAGAAAGGTAGGGCAAAAAGTGAATATTGCTGACCCGAATTCTGCTGACTTTCATTTCCATTAATTTCTACATAACTGGGAACTCTTTTGGCAGCCTCCCATAAAAGGCATAATAAATTGCTTTTGTACCAGTAGAGGAATTCATTCTCTGTCTCATTTAGCATCAACATTGCTGTGAATTTCAGACAACAGTTTCTAAAACGTCATCAGATTTCTCTGCCTAATGTCAATTTGGCATTTTTCCCCTCTTCACAGAATGAACGCTGGAGAAGTAAAAACAGAGGAAAACAAAAACAAGTTTCCATGTCAGTTGTGTAATGTGCAGGGAATGAGCCAGGTTTGCTCTTCCAGCAGGTGCCCGTGATTCAGCAACATCACTAGCACCACTGGCAGGAATCGATGACATTCTCATTAAAGCGACCAGCGATTACACAGCCCGGATTCATCCCTCTGAGGGTTTTTTCCCTCCTGACATGGCCCAGATAAGTTTATTCTCCTTGTGCAAACCATTGCCTGTTCTAAGAATAGATAGAAACCTTCAGGCTATTGATGGGTCAACTCAAATGAGGAAAAAAAAAAATCAAGGAAAATAGAAGTCTAGTAGAGTATCTTTGCTTCAGCATGTGATCAGATTACAGGCTGCCTCTCTCTAAAATGCTGATGTCCCTTCACTCCTGACAATTTCAATGGCCCTTATGAGCCCTTAGCCCCTCCTACGGGATTTAGGCCCATAAGAAATTGTTTCACTTCCTTCGCAGCTAGTGATCATGTTCCCAAATGATGTCTGGGGCAACAGGAGCCAGTCTTAACCGCCACTGCTTTCTGCTCTCAGCCTCCAGCCTCATCCATCCCCATCCCATTGAACTGTTGATGCTTGGGCAAAGCCAGGAGCCCAAGGGACAGATGTGGTCATACCCACAATATGCCCTGTCAACAGCTCCCCTGCAAATCCCATCTTCATTTACGTACATTTGGGGCTGGGGTGCAGGGGTGAGACATCACTAGCCCTTCATGTGGGGTAGGATGGGAGTCAAGGGGATGTCACTGCTGTGGTATCACTGCGTCAGCGCATTTTACAGCCTCTCTCCATTGCTTCCTTTCACTGAAATTTTTCACGAGAGGTACTTTGCAAGTGCTTTGCATATGCAGGGTACATCTGATCGAATCATGGTTAGGGAAAAGGCTGCGCGGATGTTACGTGCTGCCTGCTGGGTACATGGGGACAAGTTTCCCCAGCCCTCATGCAGGTGTCCTCTCCCAGCCTGATCTATCTACTATGGAAAAATCAGGGAGAATTGAAGTCCTGGTGCTGGAGGGTGCCTTCCTTTGTGTAATTAAGAGCGGCCTCAGAGTCCCTGGGAGTTGCTCTTAGTTGCTAACAGCTGTCAACTAGTCTTTTGGCTCACGAACCATACCCCCACCCTGCTTTCCTCTGATACCCACACAACTCCACCTGGCAAAACTGTATTACAAACAGTACTGTTAAAATTATATAACAGTTTTGATATGCTCTCCTAGGGAGAAGGGCTACAGAAAGGAAGGCAGATTTTAGCCAGCCAAGAAGGCAACATCATAGGGAAAATGGGATCTCGTCTATCCGGCCTCTCCCTCCCTGAGCAGCACCCGGATGCACTGCTTGCAGCCTGCACCACTGCCTCGGCCCCAGCTGACATCGTGCTTCTGATTCTGTCCGTTGTATAAATCTCGTTACAGTCCTCAGGATCGATAGTCCTACTTAAGGCAGTCAAAGGAAAATTTAAGGAAAATTTGGCTGCACTTTTTCCCTTGCAAATATTAGGAGATAGCCTAAAACAGTGCCTAGTAGTTCACTGGGGGGAGCCTGAAACCCAGTAACAGTTCACTTTTTGGTTAGTGTTTCTCTTTTTTTTTAATGCAATCTGTTTATTTTATTGGACTGACAGGGTTTTCTCATGTCAAAGACAAGCGCTTTTAGTATTATCCTTGCCTGGCAGCATCCGAACCCAATACCCAGTGCCTCTGAAACTGGGTGGCCCTGTCAGTCCACAATCGCATTTTGCTAAAAACGTTTCCCCCCCCCAACACGTACAATGAAACTTTGTACGTCAGGAATTAAACTATTGAAAGGAATCTGGATGTGGGAATGCTGAGACATATTGAAAAATAGTTATTATAAACAATGTCTTCTTTTTATTAATAAAGGAGTAGAGAAAGCCACATTAGGAAAGCTTTTCAAAGAAATTATGTGGCAGATCAAAGGATACAGAAGGCCTGAGGAGCGAGCGCGGATACAGATATGCATAGCCAAGGGGTTAGAAATTAATCTACATGAAGCTTTGCAACTTCAGCGGTAGTATTTATTGTCACACATGCTAACTGAGTGAAGAAAGGAAGTTCGAGATGGTTTGAGTACATGATGTAAAAGAAGGATCAAAACTAAAGCAGGGGATGATCAGTGTTCCTCTGGAGCTGGGTGCTGCCAGATGCTCAGCATCTGGCCCCTGAAGAGCCCTCTGCAAGGAGAGGGCTGATCTCCTATGCACTGCAGACAGCAGGCATCCCCAGCCTGGCTTCAGCTGAGTCTGGATCAGGGTTTAAGTGGACATCTTAGTTTAAAACAAAAGCCTTCATGTTTCCCTTCCTACAGCAGGATAAGGTTTTGCTGGGGTTTACCAGTCATATGGGATAATGCACAAAAATGCATATATATATATATGTATACACACTATATATATGCTATATATAAGCTACATATACTAGTTTTGGAATACGTGAGAACGGCAGTGCCTTGAATTATAAATTCTTATCAGACCATTTCAGAAAGAAAGGGGTACATGCACAGTTGTTTTTTTAAAGGATCGGTTGGGCATGATTTATTGTCTTTGCTCCAAAGGAAAATCTTTGAAATAGAAGAACCTGAACATTTAAAAACAAAATGCCTAGGGTTAAGCTGTGGTTAACTTAATCATAAAAATTATATAGATCTTAATTAAGAGGTTTGTAAAGTACTCCAGTTTGTCATTGTGTTTACAGCTACATGTGATATCCTCCGAAAATCTTGTTCCAGTATCAGCTAACAAAACTGGAAAGTTTGTTTAGATTATTGTTCTGCTAGATAAGATAAAAGCTGTGATAACATTGCAGAGTGATCAGCCTGGTTACAGATACGGACACCGGCTTATGGCTTACCCCAGAGGCTGCAGTCTGTGTGCTGGGAGAAGCGGTTTTGCTACAGTCATCTGAGTTAGTAGAAGACGTGGACGTTGGAGTCATAGGAACTGCAGTAGTACTGTTACCTGAAAGATCGGGAACTGGTATTAAAAACAAATATTTTCCAGCCAGGGGAGAAAAAACTCTTGCAGCTCGACTGTCTTATCTTTTTATATTTACCAGAGCATGCCTTTGACTTATTTATGTTCTTAGGTTTTCGCTTCCTGGTCTGAATTCCTTCTTTTTTCATAGCAAGAGGTCGGGGAACCTGAAAAAATTAGATTTCCACACCAATCACAGATTTGCGTATGTACTCTAATATCAAAAATAAAAATACACTAGAAGATTAAATGGTGATGAAAATGCCTGTATAGCAAGTCAACTTTCCTGTGTCACAGTACTGATTCCAAAAAACCTTCGTATTCTATTTGGGCAATAAAATAGGTTGTTTTGAGGGAAACTTTAGCTGAATAAAGAAAGCAAGGAAAGTTTTTTCTTGATGTGAACTAAACAGTTTTTCCAACACCTTAGGCAGTCCACAGACAAATAGCACTTTTTTTTTTTTTTTTTTTTTTTTAGGGAAAAACAGCATAATTTGGCCATAGGTCATATGAAATCAAATTGGATGGGGTATATCTAATCCCTGATTCCTTATTCCAGTCAGTTAGGAATTATTTCCAGTGGCTGATTCTGGAAAGCAAGAATGTATATGAAGGGAAAAAAATACTCCTCTTCCTGTGGACCATCCATGCAAACCAGATCATTGCCAGTAAGTGTCTTAGGACAGAAGCTTTAGGCCATAATCAACTTAGGATTTGTTCTTCTAAGCAGTTCTGCCCATGATACAGCTATACATTATCCAAATTTATCTGTAAAATGTGCTCAAAACTCAGCTTTGAGTTCTGTGTCATCACAATGATAATCATTGCACAGAAAACATTGGCTTAAAGTATATTTTAACTTAGTGATAACACAAATTTGGGGAAAGACAATTCAGACATATGCTTACTATCATTGTAATGTTTAAACCTGTGATATAATTCAGTTTTTTTCTTGAGAACTAGACCATGTCCCAATCATTCCTAATGCCCTCACTCTTCAAACACTTGTGCTTGACTGCAACTTAATCCACAGGGGCACAGCAAGCTCCAAGTCCCACCCAAAATATACTCAATCACATTGAGGATAAAGCTATTTTCTTCCTCTATTATTGCCTAGCAAATGCTAAAACAACATTTGAAGTTTTGCTGGCATAGCTATGGCTTGAATTACATTTGAAGTTTTGCTGACATAGCTATGTCTGTCCATGAAGAACTATCTTGTTAAAAGTCTAGGATTTTTTTTTCTGGAGAGCTGGTTTAAATCCTGGTGGCAAAACAACTTCTGCCACTCATCCAGTGGAAATCTGTTGAGAGAGCTACAGCGGCAGATACATAACTTGTCAATGCTGGGCGTTTTTCAGTCATTTTATCCATTTTGTATGCATTCATCCTTTTTTAACTCCACAGTCCAAATCATGAGCCAAGACCATCAGCATCAACAGAAACATAGCCCTGACCTGAGGAAGCCCAATGCCACCCCCAAAGCTGCCAGGCACCCACTGGCCCTTTCCCAAAGAAGCATCCGAGCTGGCGGGGAATCTCCCCTGGCAAAGCGGCTGCTTACCCCGTGGAGTTTCATATAGAGGCCGCAGGCGTTGCAGACAGGCTCGCCCTCCGCGTTCCTGCGCCACAGGGTGGTGGTCGTGGTGTGGCAGTTGGCACAGGACAAGCCCAGCCGCCGGGACGAGGGCTAGAGGCAAGTGCAAGCAAACACAGTCATCAAAAGGCAGGCAGGAGCAAATGATTTATGTTTTTACAGTTTAAAAAAGTACTTTAACACTCAGTGGGGACAGTAGGACCTTTTTTTATAGTGTCTATCAGTGATGTCCCAGACTTAAAACAAGATTATTCTAGTTTCAGAGACTGGAAAGCTGACGTGAAATGCGAGTTGCGAGTCTGCAACTACAGGCAGTCGTGGTGGAGGCAGAATTTACATTTTGGGAGTTGCTGACCCAGGGACCTCTGTTCAGACCGCTGGGCACTCGCTTTTCGTTCAACAGAACAGCTAGGAAACACCTCCACTACAGCTCCATCCAGCTGAGCAGAAGGCACACCACTCCTTTCTCTCATCAGAAAAGTCAGCAACCTTAATCATTGTCCCTCAGTGGCACCACAGCTGCAGAAAACAAACTTTCCTGGGTGTCGGAGGGTAACACGTACAACAGTGGCATCTTTGTAAAAACATATTTTTATCATCGCCCATTTTATACTCGCGCAAAAACCAACATGCCTGGGGAGCGTGTTTTACAGAGCAAAGCTTCTCCTCGGACAGCAGAAAAGCTGGTGGGTGACAACAAGGTCCCCACTGCAAACAAACCATTTATGACACTCTTCTGTGGAGTTTGGAGCCAAGATGAAGCAACCTTGTATCAGAAATAACCGTATAACCTGGAGCTTTATGGCTCCAGGCTGTATATCATAAGTGAAGGCAGTCCTCATAAACATGTGAAATGAAGGTGAATGGGTTATAAAAGTCCCTGTAACAAGTGATCTCTTTTACGTTCATCACAAATAAAGAATTCCAGCTACATCATAAATCTAGTCTTTTTTCAAAGTATTGCATTGTCAAAAAAAAATATAAAAAAATCTGTGCCTAGCTCTGTGTTTGGCAGCTGAACAAGTTTACATGGAGAACTCAGGTTTAGAGGATTGCATTAATCTTATTCTGACTATAAAGTGCCCATAACCGAAATTACTAACTTAAGCGTACAATGCCCTTCCTCTTGAATCATTTACTGCTGGGTTGTTAGACATAACTCGGTCACCTTTGATACCGCAGAACTGTCTGCCACTTGGGAAAACAATAAAAATGTTTTGAGAATGAAGAATATTCCAGAGTAATAATCTAGTTTCTTTAATTTTATCTGTTTGAGTTTCTTTAGCAGTAAGCTGTTGTCTTACACTGCAGCTCACAGAGAACTCCAGATCAAACATGCATTTTGTAACTTTGAATTAGTAATCCGTTATTAATTGCACAGAAAAAAAGAAAAAAAAAAAGAAAAAAAAAAGAATGTAATCTAGGCTGAAGAACACACATATGCTTTTTAATCTTAAAAAAAAAAAAACAAAAAAAACAAAAAAAAAAACAGGTCTCATGCAAACGGAATTTTTGACCTCATTATTAAACACGTATGCACACAGTGTCCAAATTGTGCTCCTCGATTCAATATGAGTTTTACATGGATCGTGTAAAAAAAAAACGGGTCTTAACACATATGCTGCATTTTCTCTCTTTGCAAGTGAAATGCTGTCAGATGTTTCACTCTGTTAAATCTTTCCTTTTCTTGCATGCTGTCTGGTATAAATCTTCATACATTTTGTTTCAATAGCTTTTGCTCATTCCCATATTCAAGCAAATGGGGGGGTGGGGGTTGGCATGTTTTGAAGCTAAAATGACTTTTCTGCCACAGGAATTTTATCAGAAACTTCGGGGCAATCTAAACATGTTTAGCATTTTCAAAACATTTTCCCTTCTCACCTACATATTTCCAACTGTGTGAACACGCAGTCATGGTTGATTTATAGTTATGGCCAAGGTACTGGGTAGGGATGGTTACACAGAACTATTTCAGAGTTATTTCGCTGAGGTGTCAGGCTGAAATCGGGCTGCAGTTTCACTCTGGTTTAGTCTCCTCACCCCCCACCCTTCCTTCAAAAAAAAAAAAAAAAAAAAAAAAAAAAAAAAAAAAAAAAAAAAAAAAACACAAAAACGAAACACAGAAATACCAGAACTGGGTATCAGCTACTTGAAATCCTTATCAGGACAGGGTGCCACGGCCAGTCAGGCTCTGACACTCCAGACAAGTGGCAGATCTAGCCCGTCTGCTGCGTTTGTCCCCGGTAATGACATAACACCTCCTGTCATGAAATTTAGCGGATGGCTAGCTAGAAAAAATTAGGCACCCAGCAGTAACTAACCTCTGGCTTAAAGTTAAATTAACTCTTTGGCTTAAATAAAGGTCTTTAAGCAGATGTGGGGTTGGTTCATGAGTGCTCACTGTCTGCTCTGATGATCGTGCATTTGGATTTTGTTTCCCCTGGCACCCGGTAAGGGCATTAAATTCAAATGGTTGTGAAATAAAGAACGGGATGTGTTTTAACGCTAGGAAAATAGGCATGGAGCGAAGCAGCTGGAGTGATTGAAAGAGGCTTGAAAACCTGATGGGTTTGATACACTGTCTCCATACACAAGGGTCCAAACATCAGCTTGGATTATACCGGCGTGATTTATCATGGCTCGCTCGGTAACAGCCATTACTGAAGAGCGTATTCTTTCTCTCTGCTGACCTCCACCCAGATTTGCCAAACATAATGTGCAGTTCCCGCTTGTTAAATTTTCTCCTTGCCTATTCAATGTCAGCTTAAGTTATAAACAGGGGTCTGGTTTGTACTATTTATTTCCCCCTCTAGTTTTAGGAGTATATTTTTAGAAAAATTGCCGCTCATTTCTTAGGAGTAAAACAAAACAAAGGCTATTATCATTGTTTAAACAATTGGTTTTCTTTGAATTATATACAAAACTTGCTTACATTCCCAAGGATCGAGCTCTCAGCAAACAAAGCAGGTCTGGAGAAATTCCTAGCCCTCAGAACAAACACTTTCCAACCTTGATTTTTTTTTTTTTCTTTTCTGCTGGAAGCGTCCAACATCAGCAACACAAATTTCTTCCAAGCCACCGATGCCCCCTCACTGATGGAGTCCATCAATTCAAAACGCCAGGCTAGCCTGTGCCTGGTGTGCAGCTCACCAGGCACAGAGGGTGATTCCACCAGCGTGGGGCCCGGAGGTGAACCCAAAGCGGTGTCCAGAGGGTTGCCAGCCTTGTCGCCCCTCATGGTGACTGCTGACATGGTCAGGACCCCCATTTTGCTTTTGCAGCTGGGGGGATCACTGGACTAACCTGCTCTGATTGTGCTCCCACACCCTTGCCCTCACCGGCTAGCTCTGACTGGGGGTCCCTCAGGGTGCAGGTCGTCTTGCCCACCCCCTCCCCTCCATCCCCACTCACCACTCTCTTCTGGGGCTTGATGAGGGGCCGGCTGAGGCCGTTCATTTTGGTGTAGAGCCCGCAGGCGTTGCACAGGTAGTTGCCGGTGCCGTCCCTCCTCCACAGCGGGGTCTGGATGGAGCCGCAGTTAACGCACTCCCGGCTCTCGGACAGGTCCTCCAGCAGCTCTGGGGGTGCAGAG